TGACATTTTCGTAATTTTTTTTTATTTTTTATTTTAAAAAAAATATTATTTTTTAAATTAAAATATATTAATAAAGTTTACACCTGATCATATCAATTTTATTTTTCTGTCTTTTTTCCCCTTAAGTAGATAAGAGATCATCTCAGCATCATTGTTGTCAATTCCTATCACACTCTTGTTGTATCTCCTTCTCTCTGATCTTTCTCTAATATGATTTGATCTCTCTATCTGATATTATATCTCTTTCTCATCCCAGTTCTTATTTTTTTTGTTAAAGCTTCCATCTTTATAACATGTTGATAGGTATTATTAATTTAGTTTCACTTTTTTGTTAAATTATTAAATATCACATGAAATATACACTATATAAATTAAAAATATTATTTAATATTAAAACGTGTCGAAATCTATAATTTTTTAAGATTGACGTGTCGGAGTATCGTGTCGTGTCGTGTCACGTGTCGCATATCGGTGCTACATAGGCTCAGTCTAGATGCTAATAAAGCAAGTATTTTAGGCCTCATAATTTTATATTGATATAATTGATTATCTTAAAAGTAAAAAAATTAAAATAGTTAATGTATTACAATTATATATAGTTGTTTTGTTTATTAGGCATAGTATGAGTGCGGTCCTGAATTTTAGTTATTAGTTAAAAAAGTTTAATGTTTGTTATGTTGTAGGAGAAAAATTTATTTCTTATACATTCATAAAAGTATATAGGACTTATACGTATTCATGTGAGGAAAAAAGAAAGAAAAAGAAAATATAGGCCTCATACATTTTTATGTGTATATTTTTATCTCCTACAATATGAGAAATATTAAATCCTTACTTAAAATCGGCATCAACGGAGCTAGTGCTTTCTTTTTTTTAGATAAATCACATGTATTCTTTACTAGAGACGATCATGTTTTGGATGAGTCCAAAATTAAAGCTTTAAATATTTTTCAAAGGTAATAGTGGAGAAAATTGAACTCATACACTTACCTCCATCTGCTTAATTTTTATGCGCCAACTAAATTAATATTATTTGGTAGAGCCAGTGCTTTCTCATTACAACAAATTGGGACCTTAGTGGCATCACTCTGTTTCACCTTCGTTAGAGGTAGACATTGAGCACCAAAAGATATATAGAGCACGACAAATAATTAGCCATGATTTTTCTGTTATTGTCCATCCTGCGGGGTTACGAATTTGTCAAAAGCTGACCACATATAATGGACATTCATATTTGGCACAGAGTTCTCTTATAGATATTTGTAAAGTATTATTTCAACTTAAAAATTTAAATTATTAAGTAAATATCTTTTTTTAATATGTCATTATTTGAGAGTTTATTAGGTTTGAAAGACAGACGATATACAAATTTACTTAACTAATGATCAAATTCATAATCACTTAGTAACAGAAACTTTGATATTATAAAAAAAATTATTTCAACCCAAAAATTTAAATTATTAAAAAATACCTTATTAATTATTTTTATATTTCTCTAATAATATTTGCCCTACAATCTTGGTCTTTGGAACTAGAGGTGACAATTTGGGTTGAACCCGACGAGTCAACTCGCCAACCCGCCAAAACGGGACTGGTTGGGTTATACTTTTCAACTCATCAACCCACCTCAATCTGCCCCGCTTAGTTGTGCGTCAAAACAGGTTGGCAGTGGGTCGGGACAGGTTGGCCCGCGGGTCATTTTTTTTTTTACTAATAGATAGTATTTTAATTGTCAGTAAGCTTTTATGATATAAATTGTTTTTTATCTTAGTACTCTCCTAGAAAAATAAGGAAGAAAAACTTTATTTATTACAAAGATTATTCATATATTGAGACAAAAATAAGTTCCTAAAAAATATTTGACTGAATAATATACATTTAGATTTGAGATTGGAAAAATACTAAAGAGATTGTGAAATGAAAATAAGAAATATTATAAAATTAATAAAATATAATTTATTTTTAATTTTTTTTTAGATGGATTAACCTGCCAACCCACCACAAAACAGGATGAATTAAAATTTTTAACCCATATCAAAATGCGGGGCAAGACGGACCAACCCATTTTTGACGAGTTGACGGTGGGACGGAACGGGTCGAGACAGACCGATCCATTTTGCCACCTCTATTTGGAACCGCTTCCTTGGTCATAGGAAATTGAACAAAAGCAAATCATTATCCAAGAAAGAGGAAGGAAATAATTGTCTTTCAGGACTAGTTTTTCATTAGGTATGCATGCTGAATAGGAAGCAACTAAACATAGTACAGAGATTTTTGACTCAACAATTTGAATGGCCCAAAATAACTTGTAATCACTAATTGGGCTTGTTCATTTTCCAGCTGGAGTCCGCCAAACGCCCGTTTGATGTTGATAGAAACCAGTTCTAAAATAATTGAATTTGTTTGGGCGCATCTAGAATCCTAGATGCTGCTGATGCTGCAATTGATTCCATTAGCAACAACTTCTTCTTGCTTTTCCTTTATGACCGTACAAATCCTGGTAATTAATTCCTAAACTGCCTTCACACTTTTTTTCAAAATTCAAAGAAAATAATCTTTAAGCTTTTTTGTTAATTTTATTTCTAAAATAATTTTACTTTACCTTATCTAAAAAAATTAAACTAATTAAATTTTATTATTATCAATTATAATTAGATATCAAGCTTGTTTGGTAGAGAATAAATTTTCCGTGTCCGGAAATTATAATTCTCAGTAATATAATGAGAAAGTCACTTTTCTAAGAATATTATCAAAAAATTGTTGGATAGATTAAAATATTACCGAAATTTTATCACCAAAAGAATATAATTTTTTTAATACCTGAAATTTCAAGAATACCACCCTTAAATGACATTTTGAAAAAAAAATTATAAATAAAATAAAATTACGAAAAAATTAGATTAACTAATTTTCTTTCAAAAACATTATATCAAACATGAATAAATAAAATTATCGCTATCACTTTCGAGAATCTAAATTTTTTTCCTAAACCAAAAACACACACACCTCCAATCCACAATACTTCTCGTCTTATTCTCATTTCTCATTACTAAATATAAATCACCTCAAACACTTTTTTTTTTTTTTTTTTTGAAAAAAATGCTTTTTACCATGAAAACATGTACGGAACAAATTATAAACTGACAGTGACAAACTCCACGGTATGCGGGTATTAATCTTTCTTCACTCTTATCCTGAAGTTGATCCAGGGATCCAATTTTTATTCTGTTTCACCTTGCTTTTCTCTCTCGTTATTTTAATGGTGCCGAGAAAACGAAGTTTCAATAACACCAAATCCTCCACCAATGGTCTGCGCGCACTATATCTTGATTAATGAATCAATAAAGAATTCAAAAGTTTCGAAGACGTAGAGGATGAGAAAAAGAAAGCTGAACGCCTGAACCTCACTAATATACGCCAGCCAAAATCATACTTGGCTGCAATTACGTGAAGGTTAGGCTAAAAGGTTAGCAAAAACTTTACTTTTTATAGCAATTATTTCAAAAGTTACGATATTATAATATATATTTAAATAAAAGATTAATGTTTCTCGTGTTGTATATCTTATACATAAATAAAAGAGTGTGAGATTCACGTGGGACTATGTGAAAAAAAGAAAAAAAAGAAAAAGAAAATATGAGCTTCTTACAATTTTATATATGTGTAGGAGATAAAATTATTTTCTATACTATAAGAAACACTAATAATCCCTTATTTAAATAAATGTAAAAAAAATTATACTATAATCTATTATTTGAGATGATTTTGCACGCACTAGCTTTAGGGGAGTTGGATTAGACACGACATTAAGCGTGTTTGATTTTTTTTTTTGTCTGCATTCCATATATACATTTAGATTTAGAGTTAAATTAAACTAAACACATATTAGAGAGATATAATTCAAAATTATTAATGAGCTTTTACTTGCAAGCTTAAGTTACCACGGGTGGGACAAGAACCAAGGTGACCAGTAACCTATTTTTTAGTTCTATCTTATTGACTTAATTTTATTAGAAAGTAAGAGATAGCGATGATCGAACTCGTGATCCCACAATCACCTTGGTTCTTATACTATGATAAACAATCAATTTAATTCACCAGTTTAAACTTGTAAGTGAAGGTCCGTCGATAATTTTATATCATATCTCTTTAAATTAAAACATTAAGTGAATGAATGAATTTTAGGTTTATGAGTCTTTTTAATTATATAGACCTCATTTAATTTATTATTAACCAATATGAAATACCATTATCAGGTGGGGCAGAGAAAAGCCATAGCAGAAGATCACACGAATAGACTAAACTGGTTAAGCAACATCAATTGTAAGTAAATTTGACAATATGTAGTCTCAATCCAAAAACTTAATGTATTATATTCATAAATGGTGTCACTTATAGGAACTTTACTTAATCTGTTACCAATACGTGAGATTACATGAAATTTAAAAATTTCAACACACTTATATATTTATTCTCAAAAGAGATGAATTAACGGTAGTGACAGGTAGTACTGTAGTGTAGTATCCTTTCAAAAAAATTGTTGGGACTTATAAGAGAAAATTTCAAAGAGTAATAGAGAAATTTTTTTAACCGAATAGCAGAATAAATGGCTTTTAGAGCCCATCAATATGATATAAATGCAGAATATGAATTATATATTTATTTTTCTATTTTTCTGTCATAATATAAAGTTATTACAGTGGGCTTCTGAAAAACTTGATGCTGCCATAGTGTATTCTGACTCACTTGAGTTAAACGGAGAGGGAATCAACCAAAGCTAGTTGCAGGGTACTCCATTAAATAAAATATGACTTTAAAGTAGAACTTTAAAACAGAGGACTCAAAATAATTATCTCTTATCCTCCCATTCTCCCTAGTGTATTTTGTCTTAATCACCACTCTTGGTGCTTATAAGGAAGGCCACTTCATACACTTGAGAGCACCTCTAAGTTGTTTTTAAACAATAGCCATATTTTTCATATTGTCTCAATCATAAAAGGATGGAAGAAAAATGGGGTGCTAGTTTTGGAAAGCAATTCAATAAGGCAAAGCCTTATTTGTTAGCGGTGGGACTGCAGTTTGGGTTTGCAGGAGCATACGTCTTCTCCATGGCCAGTCTCAACCATGGAATGAATCGTTATGTGTTCGTTGTCTATCGCAATGTCATTGCTGCAATTGCCCTCGCCCCTTTTGCATTCATTTTTGAAAGGTGCTAACGCAACCCATCTTGTTTTTCTTGTGTTTTATTTATGTCTCGTGTACGTAGAAACAAATGTATGTATCTAGAGGCTAGAGCTATTCTGTTGAACAGACAGTCGATAACCGTACGTAATACTAGTTTAAAGGTTGGACTTAATTTTTCCTTTGTTTAATTGATGTTCTTCTTACCATTGTGCAGGAAAATTAGACCAAAGATGACGGCCTCTGTCTTTATACAGATAATGGTGCTCGGATTTTTGGAGTAATGATCTAAAACCTATCCATATATAGCTATCAGTATTCGTATAACATTTATGTTGGACAAAAGCCTCTTTATTTTTTACGTATTTACGTCGACGTTAAGTTTAACAGCATGTTTGTATTTGCTTAAATTATAGGAAAAAATCACTTAACAGAAAAACTCTCTCAAAAATATTTTGATTATATATAAACTGTGTTAATTCAACCATGAGCTATCATACGTAGTTATTCAGAGTGTTATGTTCTATTTACACAATTATCCTAACAGGAAAAATTCCATTGAAGTTTGTAGCTATAATAAATAAATAAAGATATATCCATTATTAATTTGATTTAAAGTGAGCTTATATTAGTTTATTTACTTGTAATAATTTAAAGTAGATACAACCATATTTATTTACTTAGAAAACGCGCCAAAAATACACACACATACATATACCTTTTCCTATTTAAGATATTTTCTTTTGAGCTCAATTATAGCCACAGGACTTATTATGTGGGTAGCATATTTCTCCTATAAGTGAACCTAATTTTTCAAAGTTAATTAGCCAGATAAATAACATATGAGATTAATATTTCTTATGTTGTAGGAGATAAAATTATTTTTTATACATACATAAAAGTGTGTGGGAACTATGTGAAGAGAAGAGAGAGAAAAAAAAAGTCCCACACACTTTTATGTGTGTAGGAGATAAAATTAAGACATTAAACTCATAATATATTATCCAAATTGTGTATATAAAATGAAAAAAAAAAATTAATACTATTGTGAAGTAATTTTAAAATTTATGATTAGTTAGAGTACTGAAAATTTTTCTATTAAAGAAAATAAATATAGATGATTCATTTTAACATTCCATATCAGGAACCAACATTAGAGTTAGAACGTTTGCTTTGTGTTTAAATTTTAATTTTATTAAAATGAGGAAACCAAAGATTGAACTATTAGAATTACGTCGAATGTTGAGTCTCTAATATTGTGTTAAAAGCCAATTAGGATTCTATAACTGTTAAAATTCTCATAAATTGTTTACCAAAAAAAAATAAAAAAATTCTCATAAATTAATTATGTAACATAAATTTCATTGTCGGACAATAGATAGATGTTAATTTAATTAAAAATGAGGATACCAAAGATTGGCATATCAGAAGTATGTTAATTGTTCAGAATCCAATTGTTAAAAACCAATTAGATTGTATAGATGTTAAAATTCTCTTAACTTAATCATATAATGTAAATCTCATTATTGCACAACAGATAGATGGAATGCGTTTATTTGTCTTTTTTGGTGTAAATAATCAGTTGTTAAATTAATAACGTGAAATGTGATTACGGAAAATAAAACTTGAAAGGATACCTCTGTAATACCTCAAACTGGTGTTTTAACAGCTAATTCATATATAGAAGGTATCTTAAGGAAGAAAGTGAGTTTTGGTCATTCTTATTTATAAGGGAAATATTAGAGTTACGTAACATGAAAGAAAAAAAAAATTCCAGCACTCACATGTCTCGTCGATAAGAGCGCCTGATTCTTTTTCTTTTTTATAAATTCATGGGTCCCACCAAAAACTGTATTTGTAGGAAATTTGTTCTCCTTCCAGTTACATAACTCTTGCATTTTTCTATTTATAATCAGTAAATTAAATCAATGGTGGAATATATAAAAGTAAGAGTTTTAAGTACACAATTTTTTCCCCTTTCGAAAATTAAAAAAATTGACGATAATGTATCCCTTTATATGATATTTCAGGCCAGTGATAGACCAAGGGTTCACTTTTTTGGGAATGCAATATACCTCGGCTTCATTTGCGTCTGCTTTGGTGAATGCCGTGCCTTCTATCACCTTTATACTAGCGTTAATTTTCAGGTGAGGTTCAGTTTATAGAAGATAAAGTGACCTTCATTTTCCCTCCTTTTATAATCTTTAGACTATAATGTAAAATTTCATATACTAATTAATTATATGTAACGTATCAGGTTAGAGCGTGTAAATATTAAGGATGTACGGAGCCTAGCGAAGGTGATGGGGACGTTGGTAACCTTTGCAGGCGCTTCCTTGATGACACTTTACAAAGGCCCTGAACTCAACATATTTAATTATTCTTCAAACACAACACATCACCAAGATGGAAGTCACTCCCCTCAGAGTCTCAAACACTTGGTCGCAGGGATTCTCTTTCTACTCCTGGGTTGTGTGGCTTGGTCGTCTTTCTTCATTTTACAGGCAATTATATATGTGTTGAAGTAATTTTGTTTTTATTTTTATTTTTTTAATTTCTTAATTGTTCTACTTTTGATTACATGTGTATAACAAAATGTGTTATGACAAAATTGTGAATTGCAGTCCATGACGTTGAAAAGGTATCCGGCAGAATTGTCACTCTCAACTTTGATATGCGTAGTGGGTGCTTTGCAAGCCGGGGTAGTTGCGCTGGTGGCTAATCATAATTCTGGGCTTGGGGTATGGGTCATCGGTTGGGACTTTAAGCTCTTTGGTCCTCTCTACACGGTCAGTACTCCATTATAAATTTATAACAATTTAACATGCACAATAAATAACATGAGTCAGTAATACAAATAAAATAGATAGGGTATCTCAGTTCGTGTCAGGAAATTGAGTAGGGCTGGAGGTGAAAGTTTGTGTTCGATCCTTCTCATTATTGTTTTTGGGAAAGATTTAAAGCCTCGATCCCGCTACCAGTCCCAAATCAGACTAATCACAAATCGAAGAATCAATTGAAATATTTCTAAAAAAAAATAATACAAATAAATTTCATTTGGCTCAGCCTAGATTGAGTCCCATAAGTCACAGGGCCAATTCCTTCAAAATGACTTTGGTACTGGCAGGGACAAGTGTTGCAGACTTGCAGTGTAGTGAGAAAGAGAAATTGTTTTAAACCAAAAAAAAAAAAAAAATACAATGAGAGAAAGAGAGAGAGGATCTGTTTAGATTGGGCCATTTGAGCCCTAGTTCCTGATTGACTTTAAGCCCAAATCATTTGTGCACTCTTTTTTTTTGGTAAACTGTGCACTCTATTCATATTCACAAGAGTTTAGATTATATTCAATATTATTGTTAAACTTTTTAGATTATTCGAATGAGTTTAGTTTGGAAGTGCAATTAATATTTTTATATATTGTCACATAACTGAGAAGAGTGTGATTTTAAAAGTAATCAATCAGTATTCTGTACAATGCATGTGTTTTTGAATTCATATAACATTTAAAAATTAAAATTAAAATGAAATATTTAAAACAAGAAAGGTATGATTAATTTAATTATAATTTTAAAAATATAAATTAAATTTTTAAAGAAGATATATATGATTAGTTTTGAAAAAAAATTAAATTTTAAAAATAAAAATTAATAATGATATATGTTATTATTTTAAAAAAAGTAAACTAAGGGATTAAGACATTAAGTCATTCTGAAAATATAATTTAATAAATAAGGATGGATTATTATGAGAGTCAAACTTTTTTATGTTTATGGCATGACAATATATACTTAAATGACTAAAAATCTTTTAAATTGATGGTACATCAATGCTAAATCTTATTAATAAAAAGGAGTTATCTATATCATTGTACTCATTTTGATTCTTTAAATAATTGACATGATATGGTCCACTTAAATTGCAATTTTTTTTCTTCTTCCAGGGAATAGTTTCCTCGGGAATTGCGTATTATGTGCAAGGGTTGGTATTGCAAAGCAAAGGCCCAGTATTTTTAACAGCGTTTAATCCCCTTTGCATGATCATCGTTTCTATTTTAGGTCCCTTCCTTTTCGCAGAGCATCTTCACTTGGGCAGGTATCTTACTACACCCACATACACAAAAGGAAAAGTTTGTTCGCTTATACATGAGTTGACAAGTAGCATGTTAATCCTTAGAGATACAATATATAAAAGCGCTTAACATTTCTGTAGTAGATAATGTTATCTACAGCTGACACAGAAAAGTAGGTCCCACGATTTTTTTTTTTTTTAAAAAAAAAAAACTCAGGATCCGGTGCCGTATCTCAGGATCCGGACGCAGATCTTTGTTTGCTGTAGGTACAGCAGCTGCAGAAATTATTTTGTCTATATAAAAATGTGATATTTGTTAATTTTTTTATTAAAATTATTCTTTACATTATATTAGGTGATCACCAATTCAATTCTAACTAAGTCACCGTAGTCGTTTACAGCCCATAAGAATCTTTCTCTTATGGGTTGAGATTAGACTCAATTCTTTCTCCTTTTGTCATTACAATTAAAAGTTCTTTTTGTGTGGAGAAAATTGCAATTAAAAGTTTGATTATGTGTGTATGGTTATAAGAGTGTGACTGGTTAGAAGTTAGAACTATTTCATGGTGAATATTTTTTTAATACTTTATTATATCTAATTAATTTTCTGAATCTAACCCTCTCTCTATCTTTTTCTGTTTTATCCATCTCAGTATCGTTGGAGCCATGATTATCGCAGTGGGTCTCTACTCTGTGGTGTGGGGTAAAGGCAAAGACTATTCAGAGCCCAAGACACCATCAGCTACAAAAGAGCAAACAGAGATACAGCAGCTGCCAATTACCTCATCTGATATCTAACGGAGATTACCAAAGGATTTATGAATAATGTGCTTTTGCTGCCTTAAAAATCTTCAATAGCTATGTATATTTATTTCATGCTTGAGGTTGCCCATTATTATGGGATGGTATCAGATTGCTACTACAGGCAGTTTCCATGCACTATTATATCAATCAGAAAGAAAATATTTGTAATTGTGAAGATAAGATTTTGTCCACGTCTTCATTTTGGGATCATCAAACTCTCTCCGCCTTTTATTCGCCAAGATTTAAAAATTGAGAAACAAACCTTTTAAAGTGACCAACCTTTTAAAGTGACCTCAGCATATTTATTATCAATTTAATTTAAAATATATTATGATCATAATTGATTATATATTTAAAAGTAGGTAAAAAAAGAAAAAGGTAAAATAATTTATCCCTTTAATTAATTAAAAAAAATTATTTTAAGTTAGTTAAATTTTCCTTAAAAGTTAACCCGAGTGGGTTTGAACAAAATAATCGAATCAAACCGAACTATATTTTTCTAAATTAATTTATAAATCAAGGAAAAAATCAATTCAGGTTGAACCATGCCCACATTGTAGGCGAAATTGGATTTCGAAAGTGTTTAGACGATTGTGGTTTGAGATGCAACGGATCATCATCGTTTTTCTGATTCACCTTATCTATGATTCCCCTTCACGAACCGATCTTTTCTGCATTACAACACGAACTCACAAATTGATCTTCTCTGCGTCACAGCACGATCAAACCTCACGTGTTTCTGGTAAATCTTCCAGACTATCCTCAAGAGGGAAGAGGAAGTGTGTGGGAACTTTTTCAGAACTGAGCTTACCTCTTCTGTTCAATGACCTGGAGGCTGATGTCTTAAGTGGTAGTATTTATATGGGTACCAAGAAACCCTAGTCCTAAGCTTTTTTGGGCTCTAGGCTTCTTGGGCTCTTTTCATACTCTTGTCTCAAGCTACCCGAGGATTTACCATCCGTTATTAATCAAGACTCCTGATAATCAACGAATGATTATCTAATTCGATGCTACTCCACTAAAGGCCCGAACTTGAATTCCAAGATTAATAACACATTTATAACATGAATATGCATCGCCCTTTGTAGAATGCCAATAATTGATTAATGCGTTTTCTTTTACTCAATTAATTATTTTTTCCCTTGACTATGATAGTTTCTCTAGTGGATTACATGCACTGGCCAGTGTCTTCAATATCCAAGTACCGAAACATATCAAAGGGATATATCCTACAAATTCCATATTGTTTATATCATAAATATCGATAATCAAATAATTTTACTCCCAAAATACCGAGTTATTGGTCGTCAATATATCGAGTATCATCCGTTGGTAAATCAAATAATGAAAACTATTTGATTACTTCACTACAAAAAAACAGGCATTTAGCAGCGGTTCATTTTTGGTATACGCGACGGTTACAACCGCCCCTAATTGCAAAAATGCATTTTGCGACGGTTGTAACCGGTGCGTATACCAAAATGAACCGCCGCAAAATGTCTGTTTTTTTGTAGTGCTTATTTAAAATAAACTCAGGATTAAGAATAATATATTATCATACTTAATATTGAAAAGCATACATATCAAATATAAATTAATTAGAAATCAAATAAAAAAAGTAAAGTTTTTTGCTTCTTCTTCTTTAAACTCAAGCAAAAGAAGAAAAAATTATGGTATTTTTTTTTTGGAAAGATCATACTTACTATCTTTTTTGCCTTACAATCAATTTTATTGTCATTGGATTAAAATTAAATCAACAATCTCACTTGATATTATTTTGTAATCATTAATTTAATTTTGATCTGATTACAAAAATGGTTGAAAGAAAAAAAATTTGTAAATATGGCCTCCCTTTCTATTCATGTCTCCTCTGTGGTTTATTTTTAGTTTTCTTTTCTCTTCTCCCGTTGTATAATTGGCTACAAACAATGTGTTATAATTCTGAGGTCACCGTTTCGTTGTAACTTCATAACAACAATGTGAAAGAGACAATTATATATATATATATGGCAAAATGATTTCTGCAGCTGCTGTACACACAGCAACCAAGGATTCGCGTCCGGATCCTAGGATACGGCAACAGATCCTATAATACGGCAACGGATCCTGAGTTTTTTTTTTTTTTTTAAAAAGCCGTGGGGCCCACTTTTCTGTGTCAGCTGTAGGTAACACTATCTACGGCTGCTGCAGAAATGTTAAGCCGTATATATATATATATATATATATATATATATATATATATATATATATATATATATATATAAAAGAAACAATGGGAGAGAGGCAGAGACAACCAAATCATTTAATCATAGTTTTAGTTTATATCGTCATGCACAAGATATGGAGATCGTGTTGAAGTGTCAGTTCTATGAATTCCAATTCCTCATAAATTTTTTTTAAGTAATGATAACTTGACAGCAAAATGCTTGTATATTCTCAAATAGATTTCGGCCAAATAATTATTTCTTTTCCTTTGTCCTTACAAAATTTTCTATTAATAACCACCCACGCTTTCAAGACCTTTGAATGTAGGTCCATTCAAAGGTTTTCACCTTTTTTCCTTTCATCTCTTTGCCTTGTAGGTCCACATACTCCTGGTGGGTCTTACACCTCTTGGTGCTTTTACTAGATACTGAATAGACTTAAATACAAGCATTCCACTTTATGGTTCGTACATTTGATCAATAACATCTTCTAGTGTATTATCATAACTAGTGGGATCAATGCCATTCAATAAGAGATAATTTGAGGGTTAGCAAAGTTCTCTCCCACTGTGAATATACCACACTAGACCTAGTGTATCTGCATGTAGATACAAGTTCTGGTCAAGTGGTGGATCTTCAATTTCTTAATGATTCACATATTATGTGTTAACAAATCCTTAATATTGTTGTTCCACATGTGATACTAATATTTCTATTAGTTCAACTTGTATAATATCATGTTGAATTTCCATTTATTGTTCCTGTGTTTGTTCACCTAAAGGTACATTTCCCCTCTTTTTGAACAATCGAAGGAACATAGGATAGAGCTTCTAAATTTTTTTTATCTGAGATAAATCTCATTAAGAATAACCTTACTCAAGAGAATATAATTTCTTATATAGTCCTCCTCTAAGAAAAAACGTGAGTGCTCACTTAGATCATCTTATCCTTTTGGACTAAATAAGATCTCATCCCCAGTTCTCTTAGGGTAGCCAAAAGATATGCACGCTTCCGTACAAGATTCCATCTTATTTGATCATTGTCGAAGGACGTGTGGCGAAGCACCCTAAATCCAAATATGGTTTGAATTGGACTTGCACCCTTTCCATAATTCTTTAGGTGTCTTTACAACAAACTTTGATAGAATCAAGTTAAGAAGGTATATTTTCTTCTCTTAGACATCTCCTCAAAATGACATTATCAAGGATGAATAACGGAACATAGATTTCACCAAGTTTAGAAATGTTTGATTTTTGCATTCTGCAACTTTGTTCAACTAACACATTCCTAGAGTTGACAGTTGTGAAAACCATCATCTCTTAAATCAGGCAAGCCTTGAACTTACCAGACAGGTATTCACCACCCTAGTTAGATCGAAGTGTTGTGATTTGAACACCTAGATACTTTTCTGCCTTAAACTTAAACCTCTTGGGATTTTTCAAAAGCTTTAGACTTATGACACACTAGTTCATTTGTCCGAATTCAAAGTAACCATTCATATAATGAAGTACTGATAACCTTTTCTAGCTTGAATGCTCATTTATCCACATACATCAATATGTACCAATTCTAGTTGAATATTTGCGCAAATCCCTTTGACCTTATAAAATTGCTTGGCCATTGCACCTTCCAAATAATAGTTACATGTAGCTTTTAGTTCAAAGACTATGGAACTTTTAGTCCCTCTTTTTAACTAAATCATGTTTCCTATTTAAGAATAACCTTCCTCGCTCCAACGAGCTCGCCAACGAGCAAATTCGACAACAAAGATATAGTTATGTATTTTGGGCATAACTTGAGCTATAACTGTTCAATTGACGTGATCTTGATCTCGTTGGAAAGATAAGAGAAAGGTATACATCTTCTTTGAAGAACATGAGATCAAAATCCATCATCTTTGATACTAAAAATTGGCCAGAATATAGCTGTTGGAAAATTTTCACTAAATCATTGCTCTTCCCTTATCGCTTTACTTCTTCTATCTTAACCATTGTTCCAATGCTCCATTTTTACAATTTAAACCTGAAACCAATATATTTTTAAGTCAGTAACATATAAAACCATTAAAACTCAAGCGTCTTTTGTATTTGATAAAATGTGTTATGTTCTTAACCATTTATAATGATATTTACTATACTTTTGCATCTAAAAACATAATGTGTTTGACACCTAACAAACACCAATTGGGCTGGGTCTAACCATACACAGCTGAAGGTAGAAGATGTTGATGAAGAAAATGAAAGGTTGGTGAGTTGTTGTCGAGATGCTTGGAATCTTTGCGAGATGGTGTATTGAGTCGTGAGATGGTTAGGCAACACTATTGTTTCTCTGCGTTGTATAAGAGTGAATGAGGGTACATGCAAAGGCACTCTGATGCTCAAGTTAATTTAATTTCCAAAGAGGTTCTCATGTATTCAAAGAGAGATATCATACCTAGGCCAATGACCTCTGTATTTATAATGCTTGAGCGTCGTGTTTATCTAATCCTTTATAAGGCGGTGTTCATGTTGGTTGGTGAAGAGGGGAGGCCTCTCTCATGCTATTCCTTAGTGGGCAAGCATATGTGCAGAGTAGATTTTATAGATATGGTGGCAAGCAGGAGTTGCCATCCTTTCACTGATTCCTGGTAGTGGCCAACTTGTCTGAGTTGTTGACCTCGACAATAATGGTGCCTTTCAGGTTAAGTTATGTTGGTTTGGTGGTCAAATACCTTAGCGAGATTCATGCCTCTAAGACGAGATGGTCTGCCTCTTAAGTTATGTTGCAGGGATTTTTTTGGTATTTAATAAGC